TCACCTGTAGTTCTGTTCAAACACTGTAAAAATGCTTTACAGCTGTAATGTTGGAGTAATTCAGCCATGAAACCGGAAAAAGAAGAACAATACGTCAACAGAATTTGGTTTGTTACACATGAATCCTCAGAATATCAGTTAAACTGCAGTTTCAAGGTGGAAATGTTCAGCAACGACGGCTTATTTTGCTCATGATGCGTCTTCTAGCTGATAAGAAACACCATGTGGACATGTAATCAAGGTGAAACGTTTCAGAGCACCAAATGGACACTGATTGCAAAACAGGCCCAAGAAAGATTGAAATTGAGACATTCAAGTAACTGAAAGTCACTAATCCTCTTGTTTACTGTTGCTGCACCTGTCAGGCTTCCCATCCTCACAGCGCACATAATTTAGTTTACAATAATAACGGCGGTAGATCTGTCATCAGAACTGATTTATTGTTTTTCAGTTGAAATGACAACTGTCACTGGCAGATTGTGTCAGTTTTACCTAATGTAGCATGAATGACATGTAAGTAAAGCCAAATCACTGCTGTGGGTAGCAGACTGGTTAGGCAGACGTTTCACTGTTTGCATCAGAGCAGATAAACACATTGGTTAACCCCTAAAGCCCAAGGCAATTTTTTTTTTTTACAATTCGATCTGGAAAAAGGCTGCAAGGTGGCGCAGTTGGTAGCACTGTTGCCTCGCTGCAAGAAGGTTGCCGGTTTGCGTCTCGGTGAGGAGGACATGGAGTCCCCATGTTCTCCCCGTGCAGTGTGGGTTCTCTCCGGGTTCTCCAGCTTCCTCCCACACAGTCCAAAAACATGTTGAGGTTAATTGGTGATTCTAAATCGTCTGTAGGTGTGAATGTGAGTGTGCTTGGTTGTCTGTCTCTAAGTGTAGCCCTGTGATAGACTGGTGACCTGTCCAGGGTGTCCCCTGCCTTCACCCTGAGTCAGCTGGGATAGACTCCAGCCCCACACGACCCTAATGAGGATTAAGCGGTGTATAGATAATGGATGGATGGATCTGGAAAATAACTTCCTCAAATTCAATCAGTAACAGATCCACATCTGAGAGGCCAGAATGATCAACACTGGGCTCTGTGGCTCAAAAGAAACTTGAGAGTTTTAAAATAAAAAAATCAAAACAAAGTCAGAGTGAGATTTGAAAATAAAATAAGTACATTTTTACCTCTGCAATATCAAAACAGCCTTATAACCACGAGCCATGAAGTCATTGAAACTGTTGACAAAAACCTCAATTGCAACAGAAATGAATCCCAACAATACAGCATCCATCCTAGTCAGCAGTAGGGCTGGGCAGCCTCTTCGCTAGATGTGCCAAGCTTGGCAACTTTTGAAGGATGGCAGTGAGTCGTAATACAGCCTGCTGAGCTCTCCAGGGTGCAAAGGGTTAATCCACTCCTTACACTTTTGTTCCTGTATTTTTTATTTTTTTTTTGCTTTGGATAAAGTAACATTTGAAACATTCCTCTGGCCCCGTGCACACCGGCTCGACATGTGGTGAAATGCAAAGCGTGGCAGGCCCGATCTGCTTAGTTTGACTCATGTGAATGGACAATTGCACAGGCGAGAAGTTCATGGAGCAGTCAGGTGAAAGCCAATTTAAATCCCCACACGTTGGGCTGCGCTCAGCAGGTGAAACGTGAACAATCACACATATGCAAATTCTAGTCTGGTTGCAACACGGCAGCTCAGCGAGAGAGAAAGCAGCAGCAGCAGCAGCAGCAGCAGCAGAACAGACTTTATAAGTTATGTAAGTGCACAGTGAGTCTCTCAGAGGACTCGGGCTCAGTTCTAATCCGCTGTGACTGTACGACAAGCGCCTCCCCGTCCCAACAATCTGTTTGTGACACTCGCGTCGTCTCAATCAGCCTCAGCCTCGCCTATCAGGAGGTATTTTACCAAACACTTGCCAGTCTGTCTCCCCCACAAGTCCTCTAATGGCTCTTTCTGCTGCCTCTCCGTGTCTATCTCCCATCTCCACTCTATCCCCTTGTCTCTTCCACAATCTGCCCGTCCTCTCCTCCGGACGAGCGATGTGTCCTCCTGTTAGAGCGCTGCCTCAGACAGGTGTCGGCTACAATCTGAGCTGCTACTCTCGGCGGCGAGACGGCGCTTGTGCTGCTCGCCACCGATTACACCGGATAGGTCCCAAGGTCAACAGAGCTGTCAGGCCGAGCTCCCAACTCCTCAGCTTCCCCCCCCCCCGATGGACGATAAGGAAAGCAGGCGGAGGTGTTAATCGAGTGCGTCGTTACAGAGTTACCGACGCGCTCCTGCATGCGAGTTCATTTTCATCTCTCTTATTTATGCTAATGTTCTTCCATTTGCTCGTTAAGCTGTTTTTCTTTGGCGTTCGCAGGATGCCGCGCTATTACAGGTTTTGTTCCTCGTAAACATTTTATAGATGCAATAATAAAAAAGAACACAAACGAAGCCCCCAAATCTGTGGATTTGATTACAGGTGGCATGTGGATGTGGGTCTGCTTGAGCTGTCACCGGAGGGAAATGGCTCGACAAGGAGCTCATTGTCTACGTAGGTGGTGAGATCGGGACCAAAACGAAGAGTGCACGCAGGGAAATATTTGGGAGATTTGTTGGCAGTCTGCAGGGGGAGATCGGTATGTACATACTTCCCTTGATATATCTGTTTATTTGCACAGCACATCTAAACAAAAGAGCGAGCAGGGAGGCCACTTCAGCCTGACAAAGGTCACATTTCCTAACGCAGGAAAACTGCTTCCTGGCTGGCCGACCAGAGCTCCGCTGTAGGATTTAGCTCACCAAGGAATAGTGCTGGGTGAGGTGTTGGCTTATTTTTACTAGTCTAATCATAACACAGCACACACACACACACACTACCTCAAATCTCTCAAGCGAACCGAGGAAAGAGAAAGACGCCTGGAGCTGCATGCAGTCAGTTTGATAGTTACTGTACATTTAGAAGAAAAAACGTCAAGTTTCTGGCGTTATTTATCCGCGCGGATCCCTTTAAAAAAAAAAAAAGAAATCAAACTTCGTTAGTATCTGCAAGCTACATAACAGCTCGGCTTTGACGAGCGTCGAAAGTAAAACACAGCCTTTAACCATCCTCCACTTAAAGGAACAAAAGCAACCCCTGCCTACACGGAAGCAAACACCACTCCAAATAAATTGCAGTAAGCAAAGTGCTACCATTAATCAACCGCGCTCGTAGTTCACAATGAGTGGTCGGCTGCAACTTGTCAAGGGCCTTTACATTTAGCATTCGCTTTTACACGCCAAAGGCAGACCTCAAGCTTCCAAAAATAAAGCTGTCTAATAATCCATCAATGTGTGCACCTGCAGAGACAGAGAGAGAGAGAGAGAGGACGTGTGGGGAAAGTTATCAACCCCTCGAGTGTCTGAAGTGCTATTTCATCTACAAGAGAGGCACAGATGAATACTAAAGACGGTTTCTTGAAGTTCCCGTGGATGAGCAAAACCTATGTTTGAATAACTTTGAATACAATGCAAATAATATCCCTAAAGAGCGCTGAGAGAGAGAGAGGAGGGGGGGAAAGGTAAATCATTTATGCAGATGTGGTTAAGTGTAGCAACACAAAACAGGTGGATGTAGCGTACACAGGGAGGGCGACTCTCAGACTCTCTAAAAGTCGAATGCATTTTTTTTTTGGCTGCAATTTTAATCAGTGATTCGGCATTTCAGTCGCTGCTGCTGCCACCCATGTAACAATATACACAGTGTGACTGCAAACAATGATTATTTTTCATTTCCGCCGGCTAAATGTCACCCTCGTCACCGTTGCGCCGCAGGAAAAAGAAGGTTAGTTGTCAAAGCAACAAGAGGAGACGTGAGTTTCTCCACCACCGTCGACCGGAGCAGCTTCCAGGACTCATCAGCTCCTGGTGTCCCAGCAGAAAACCGACAGATCGTTGCACCGTTTTTCTTTGCGAAACATTATTTGAAAGTGATTCTTTCTGGTGCTGGTTTTATCTCATCTCTTCTGTTGATGGCAGATCTTGATCTCGCTGAAATTACCTCATAAAGACAATGACCGTGATAACAATCGTTGTCTTTGCTAATTTTTTTTAGTCTGTTGAATTGTTTTTATTAAATATTCAACGGGCTTAATTTTCTCCTGAAAAAGCTCAACTCAACAAGACAAAAACTAGTCTTATTTGAAAAAAATCTAAATAATCATTCAGTAATCAAAGCTGCTGATTAGTTTTCTGTTGATTCACTAATCGATGCATTAACCTGCCTGTAAAGATAACACAATTAAAAATCTATTTCTTTTTATTTTCTATAAAGGTGGAGAAGACCGGCCTGGTAAGAAGAAGAAGCTCCTTGACATGTGACCACTACAAGTAGCAGCCAGGTTTATTCAAGGTCCTGTTAGCGACTAATAAAGAAAAACCTGCAATCCATAATAATTTCTTTATTACAGGTGACTATAATTTCCATTGGGATTTACTGGGTGACTTTGCCACTTCATAATGAGTTTGAAATTGAGGTCATCTTCAATTTTCTGTTATTTTATTCCTCTCCCTCTCTGTGTCCGCTGAGCCGAGGTGTCAGGGTTTCTACGGTATTGTTACAGAGGAGTGCATGTGGGGTGAGCCCAGAGACCTTATTCTAATATCCTTAGTGGTATCAGCGCAGCATTTCTGAAGGATAATATATTAATTCATTTATTTTTGATGTGTGGTATCCTTCTCAAGCTCATTTATCATGAATAACTGACTTCCTGGTAAAACTGTGTCAAAGCTGTTTAACCTTGTGGAATCAATTTGGAACACTTAATGGTCTTGCTCATGCATCCAGGTCCCCTAACTGGGATTTAAGGACCTCCGGGGGCCCCTTCAAGGACCCCACAGCAAAATCCTCTGGGGAAATATCAGGAATAAAAATGATCTTTGCACTTCTGACTGTAATTCCTGCTCAGATGTGAGTCACACCCACCACCAGCAGCACCGCCAGCACAGTGACAGGCTGGGTCCTACTTACAGGGACACTGTTCTGTTGGGTAGGAAGCTGGGCTGCAGGGTGTCCATCAGGTCCACATCGTCACACACCACTTTGACCCGGACGTGTTGCCTGCTCAGCTCCTTGGACCTCTCGGTGGAGCAGTGGCAGCTGTCCACGATCAGGTCCGGACAGTTTCTGTTGCTCAGGATCGACTCCCACAGCAGGACCGTTACGCAAAGCAAACCCAGCGCTCTCATCGTGGATTCAAAAAAAATTATTAGAAAAAAATAAAATAAAATCCTTTCAAGTCATGTCCTCCCAGCTCCTGTGACAAGTCGGGACCATCTCACGTTGCCTTCGATAAAGAACAGCCTGCGATCGAGTCCAAACTTCATGTCCTGCTGCTGCTGCTCACCTGCTGCGTCCCCAAGAGCTGAAAATCGTTAGTTTTGCCTCTAAAACCACGAAAAAAGTTATTCACCATTGATGCGAAATGCTGAATCGTTGCCATTTTCTCCTAATGTAAGTCCTCCAAAGTGTCCTGTGAGCCGCGGCATGCGGAGGGGAAACTTCCAGCGCTGCGCTTTTAAAGTTCGGAGAAAGTTTCCACATGCTTTAACGAGAGGTTACAGATTTTTTACTTCTCTCTCTCGCTCTTTTTTTTTCTTTTTTTACAAAATCCAAATCTCCTTCATGAGCTGCTTGAAGTGTCCGAGCTGCTTCATGTCGCGTTGTCACTCACTGTCATGATCCACTTTGTGCGCTCTTGGACTTGTTGCGCATGTTGTGTCCAGAAAGTCCCTCCCCGTCCACTCCTGACAGTGTGGGCTGATAAACTCCTCACATCCCACTGAGCCACACGAGGCCACAGACACACACACGCTGACCTCTGATATCACTAAATCATGTCTCCTTCATTTTTTTTTAAACACATTTTTTTTGTTATTTGTGAGGACTCAATATTAAAAATCAGTGTTACCATTTTTAGCCTGAGGCTCATTTTCATCAGCAGCCCCTTCAGGTCACAGTTAAAGCTTCCACACAGTGACAGAGCAACACAAAGCAGACACACAGTAATACATCACGTTCTGTCAGCACACTGAGGATGTTAGACTGAATAAAAAACAAGGATATCTGAATACAAAGCAAAACAAATTAAACAAAGGGTCAGGCAAAAACTTCAGGAACATAATTACTGTTTAGAAAGTTGTTTTTTTTCCAGTTTCTGCCACTGATAGAGCTGCAGCTTTCTCATGTCATCTGGTAGGGCGTTCCACCGAGTTGTGGCTTTCACAGAGAAAGCTGCCTGCCCAACGGCAGTGCGACTAAACAGTACAGTACTACCGTTGATCCACGATGTTCTGGTGGATTTTACAGAGGATTCCTTGGAACTAAAGTAAACAAAGTCATGCATTGTAGGAGAGGTCAAAGCATTTAGAGGTCATTGATTAAAACCCTAAAAATGTATCTGTGTGTATCTGAGTGACATATTTAGTAGTGGATGGATGGAGGAAATGACTAAAATAACTTGTGAACAATCTGTCTTTAAAGTTATTAATAGATTAGATATATTTAGGAAGATACAGGGCCCCTACATGGATGAAGTATTAAATAGAAAAGGATAAGCTGGTTGAATAGTAGTGTGTGTTGTTTTTATGATGATATAATAGACGTGTATCTTGGCAACATATTGTTATTTCATAGTGATATGTGACACCTGCGCTGTTTTCAGTGTCATAATGCTCCAGCCTACGCCTTTTTTTCTTCTGCAAAGGTAAGTTCTGTAATAGTTTACCCTGTGTAGCACGATAGACTTAATTCTGCTTTGTTTGCTTTTGTAATTTATTTTATTTTTAAATTTTTTATTATATTTCATTCATTGGTTTCTAGATTGTTTAAATAATTTTCCTTTCCCTGTTTTTTTTTGTTTTGTTTTTTTGTTGTTTTTTTTTTAAGGAAAAACTTATATAATACGAGTTACAAAAAAAGTAACATATTTAGATGTTTGTTTGTTTTGTCTTTTGGAAAGATAAGTCATGTAACTGTTTACCCTCTAACATGACAGACTAAATTCAGTTTTGCTTGTTTTTGTAATTTTGTAATTTTTTTTAAATGATATTTTAGTCCTTGGATTTTAGGTTATTTTTAAAAAATAATTTAAATAATGTTCCTTTCTCAATTTTTTTGAAATTTTTGTTTTATTTTTAAGGGAAAAATATATATTTTTAAAAACAGTGAGTTACAAAACATAATTTAGATTTTTTTTTTCGCATAAAAATGATCAATTCATGCCTTAAAGGTCCTATAATGTGCTCCTATTAAACAAATAAATCAAAGTCTTGCATGTTCCAACAGTGTGTCTGTCGGTTTTTTAGCTCAAAATACTGCAAAGAAAGATGCAGCATGACTGTTTAACACCTGGTTTTAGAGCTGTGACGGGCTAAATGCTCTGAAATGTTTCAGGCTCCGCCCCCTTCAGGAAGAACACACTGTCTTTGTCTGTGACTGACAGCCAAAGCCAGACTTCAGACATGGAGAAAGTAAATGTCTTCATATGTTAACAGCTTTTATTTTATGCCTCCAAGTTATTAACAGCAAAACACATAAAATGTTTTTTTCACCATATGGGTCCTTTAAAATGACGTAGATGCAACTACAGCATCAAGATGTATAAAGTCTTCACCTCTTCCTCCAACCACCTCTACCTGCAATGCTGCAGCTTGAGCACACCAGCTCATCTATGATGCTCCTCTAACACTGTTACCTACTCTACGCTACACCAGCATTACTGGTGAAACCAATTCCTAAAGAACGGTAATGATACAAAAATCCTCACCATTCTGGCAGGATCGGTTCTTAGATTTGTCACGTATGAACCTCTGGTCGTCTGGATCGTTTGTTTTGCTCATGATGTGTCTCATGACTTGAGAAAAGTGTGAAATTCTGAGAGCTCAGAGGAAGATATTTGTCCAATATCTGGCAGTGATAATATTAAATTGATCACTCTAGAATTTTGATAGTTTATTTGCACAACGGCTGTTTCTGCGTATCGGCCCCCGACACGTAACACAATGAGACCTAATGCAACATAATCGGTAGCTTGGAAGCATCAGAAAGGAGGAGCAAATCCTCTCATCCAAACAGTAATCAGAAGATGAAATCACAATGAAATTAAAGTATTTTCTCCACTGTTGCACCTTCGAGAGTCCCGGGAGGCCTCGGGGACCCATGATTTCTGAAACACAAACATTTACACTGCGTGATGAAAAGTGTTGCTGTTTGTTTAAGTCTCCTCAGTTAGCCGGGGACAGCTGCACACAGACTGTTTGTAACCATTTCCTCTGGCCTGTACACAAACTGAAAATGATCTAAATCTCCTCTGAATCACGAGAATGCTCCCATTTTCGGAGGTCAAGGACGGAGATCTCGGTTATTATTCCCATACAGTTTTACATTGTTTCCTAAAATGTGCATACATGCATGTCTTTGTTCTCCACCATGTGTTTTTTTTTTTTTTACAGTACAGTTGTGGTGTTAAGGCATCCACATCCATATTGCTGGGCTTTGATTAGCCGCAGTGAGGAGCTGCTGCAGCCGTCGGGGGGCATTTTACGAGCAAAGGACACACTTGTAAACCTGACACTCATTTCAATGGTGGCAATAAATAAAGAATATGAGTTGGAAAGTGACCAGGTTGACGCGGTAACACAATGTTGGACTCACTGAGATGATTAACGACTTGCTTCTTTATTGCTAAAATTTCTAATATTTCTAAAATGGACCACAAAGGAAGAGGAGAGTGACTGTTGAAAATTATTGTCCATTAATGAAATAAGCCAATTGGGGGGTTAAATGCAATAAAAGTACGATTTTAGATGTTATTCTGTTCTGTTCAAAGCCGGTCCAGTGTGCTACTTGGTGCCTCTTGATGTAGGAAGCAAACCATGCTATCTCAAAAATTGCATTTTTTTCCTCATTGGGGAGTTTTGATTTATTTGATAATTTGATGATCACAACTACACTGGACATGTGCTAATTTGCAACACTTTGTCCACAGGAGGCTTTTGAAATGATAAAAAAAAAAATACAAATAATAGGAAAAGAAAAAAAGAGAGAGGATTCTGAGCAGCCTATCTGGTGACATCAGTCCTGCCTGTTGATTGTGGATCATCTGTACGGAGCTTTTGGCCCCGGGGAGACAGAAGCTGAGACAGCTGGCTGGTTGGGCTCCCCGGGGCCGGGGTGAGGTGCTTCCCCTGTGTGTGTGCACTGCACCCTGCGCCAAATTCCTCCCTCATTATCCACATTGTCTCCGGCGCAGGCCCGAGAGCACAAAGGAGGATTTGAAGCCGCTCCCACTGACCCTGCAAGCAGCCCGTGTTTCCTATTCTTCTGTGTGACAGGCAAACACGGACTCCCTTCTCTCCGTAGGACACAGGGCAGGACGCCTCCCTCCCTTCGGTGTTTATCCACATATGGAGGCCTCTCTCCCTCCTTATTGTTGCTCCCATGACGCTCCCTCCGACTGTCAGTCACGCTTGTTTACACAGATGTATATTTACCTCGTACCTCCTGTATGCGCAAGAGGAGGATCTTCCCGCCGGCTGACCCCTGGGAAGCCAATAGGAGAGTCACCCGGTGTAGCTGACATCACCATTTGAAGTGATCCATCTTTAATGGACCCCGCAGAAACATTTCCTTGGATGCGAGCCACGGCTGTTCACTGAGCTACTTGTATGCTCTTAATGGAAAACAGATCCACGCGCACGAGCCTGTTCCATAAAGGTTTTCTCTCTGGCAGGGGCTGTGTTTTCACACCGACGGCCTGTTTGGACTGGGATCACTAATCAGGACAAACAGCAGTTATTTGAACAGTAAAATACTTAATACTGACAAACGTTTTTCGTTAAAACAACTCCAGACTGCAGCGCTAACTCAAAAATAAAGCCTCATTAGTGCACAATGGAGGGATGGAGTCAATTTCACTGATGCAACGCAAACAGCGCCGCGCATGTTCTCATGTTTTCTCTGTCTCACATTAGTGTTCACGGCTCTTCATTATGACTCGGTGACAGAGATGAATAGGCCATGGCCGGCAGCAATCACAGTCCTCACTAAATATTTACCTGCTCCACTTGAAGAGGCCACGGTGCAGCGGGATGACAGACTCTCATTATTACTCCATGACTTCTGGGATAAAGGCTCGCGGCATTTTCACTTATTCTGCTTCTGCGGAGTTCCCACTGTGTTGTTGATATAGTGGAAGTTGAGAACTGTTGTTTTGGCTTTTAGCAAATGTGACAGGTGGTTTCTGGTTTCATAGCGCAATCATTAATCTTGGTGTTATCTGAAGGGTGTGAAATAGTAAGAAGACGCCGTGATGCGCCCCTCCGCTTTGTAGCCCGAGGAAAGACAGCTGAGCTTGAAGTGTCCTCACAGTAAAACTATATGTGAATCCAAAGCTCTTTGTTTGCATGTGAACGCGAGAAGAACTCGGCCACGGAGTGCACCTGTGAGGCCCGTATTCAGGCCCGTAGCCAGGATTTAAAAGTACTGAGCTCATAAAAAAATACCCAATAAAAACCATAACCACCAAATACAGTTATTAGTTTTTATTGATTCATTTAACTGTTCGGTTTTGTTTTCCTTTAAACTCCTAAATGTTGTTTGAAAGCTTTGTCGATGCCGTATTTCTCCCCACTCAAGGGAAAAAACGTCTTTATATTTTACA